TGAATCAAAAAGAGTATATGGTATTTTGTGATAGCCAAAGTCCTTTAGATTTTAGTAAGAATGTCATGTACCATGCTAGAACAAAACACATTAATGTTATATATCATTAGTTACGTTCAGTGATTGAAGAACATCAGATGCTGTTGAAGAAAGTCCATACTGATAAGAATGTAGCAGATATATTGACTAAGATACTTCCCAGGGAAAAGCTTGAGCTCTACTGTAACTTGATCGGAATGAGTTCCTTGGCCAAGGTAAGTTTCAAATGAAACTGCTATGGTGATGAATCTCCTTCTAATGGGGCTGGAGGGGGAGATTGTTAGGAAAATAGGGTCCAACCCCATGTAAGTGGTTTTGGACCAAGTAAAGGCCATGGGCCTTAATCTTTCATTTTACACAGAGCCTTAGCTACTTAATAAAAAAGAGGTGGGGTTGTTTTAAAGGAGTGTCGAAAACCAAGTAGAAAAAGAAGAAAAGTCAGAAAAAGTAGAGAGAAAAAGGAGAAGGGAGAGTTAGTTGAACGGAAGTTGATTCATGGTCCGATTGAGTTGGAACCTTGTCAGGAGGTTTATGATTCAGAGTTCTACATTCTGAATGATGAAGATCGGGTTTGAAGCTCTCTAGGAACAAATCTAGGGTGTATTTGTTGAGTCGCTTATTTGATGAGATTTCTCCAATTGTTTCTCTAGTTGTTGTTTAACTCTAATTTTAACTAGAGAAGAACTTTGTATACCTATTATTTGATAGTGAAGATTTTTCTGATAGTCCGTGATTTTTTCCCTCTACACTGAAGGGTTTTTCAAGTAAATCTTAGTGTGCTTTATTTTTCCTACGTTTTTTATTATTGATTGTTGTCTATTGCTTCTGTATTGTTGTGATTATTGCTTCAGGCGCAACAAGTGGGATCATCCAAATGCAAAGTCTCTGTTGGAGCCCTACGTTAAGCTTGATAGTTGACTGTTCGTAGAAATGCCTGACCCCCGCAGCGGTCACTTTTTTCTTTGATCAAATGCCCGACCACAATGGTAGCTTATTTCTAACATTTCCTTTTCTTCTTTCTTTGTTTTTCTTTATCTTTATCTATTTTCATTTTCTTATATGTTAATCTCATGCTTAACCTTTCCAGTTTTCTTAGCGATCTTTCCAGCACACAAAGGATTATTTGTTTTGATTATTTGGCAGCAGCAGCAGCAACAGCAACGGCTCATACACTTTGATGTTTGGAACTCCTTTGATGAATGTTCTTTTCAATCTGATATTTTTCTGCCCTTCTCGTTGATGTTTATAAGGTTTGTGAGAATTTAGGTAAGGATGAACAAATTTTGGTCAAATTCTTCAATTGCTTATATTTGGATTGAATTCTGTTCTGAATCATCTTGATAAAACTAATTCTTTTTTCACAGAAGTTTTCATCAAGATTGCAATTCCTTAAAACACTTTATTTAAATTCAAAATCTTTACAGATAATGCTTTGTTGAAATTCATATAAACAAGTAAAAGCACATTTTGAAATAAAAATGAAAGGTTGTCTTGATTTTCACCGTGATTTTGAAGAATTATGCATTAAGCTGGGTATAATTTCTTCAAAAACAAACTTGAGGATTAATGTTTTCTTTTTTGATTTATATTGTCATTATATATAATTCTAATTAATGTTTTTTGTGTTCTTATCTTTTCCTAGGTACATAACCTGCTCGAGGATTAGAAATGTCAAATGCTCACTCTGGGATTGAAGTAAAGTAGAATAGTAAATTTCACCCCTCTGCTGAACACCAGTGTTCCTCTCAATTTGCTTAAATCAGCTTCACCAACTTTAGAATTACCTCTGTTTTCTAGTGTCATTTGTTGGCTATGTATTTTGTTTGATGTCTGTGACAAAAACATGTCAAGAATTTCTCTGCATTAATTTTCGAAAACTAAATGCTCTGTATTTGATTGTCAGCCAGATTCTTTTACCTTTAGTTCTGCTGCAAAGTTGTTGACTGTATTTCCTTTTCTCAAACTTATTTTTTTGAAGTAAAGATAATTAATTTCAAAATTAATTGGTGAAGTTGCAAAGAACCTTATGAACAAAAGTTGGGCATATTTGGAGGATTGGAGTTAGGGGAGGAGTGAGTAAAACGATGGTTATGGAATTGAAAGAGTTACAAGCAGCAAAAAAAATCTAGAGAAGGTTTCTAGCAGTGAGTGTAAATTGTTGCTAACAACTTGATCGTTGGATGTCGATGCATGGGTTGTGCAGTAATTAACATGAAGCCGCTTGCAGAAGAGGATGCATGGAACTTGTTCATGAAGAAAGTTGGTCGTGATCTTCTCAGTTATCCAAATCTGGAACCATTTATGAAGTCGGTCGCCAAGCATTGTGCTGGTTTGCCATTGGCAATAAACACCATAGCCAGTAGTATGAAGGGCATATATGACCTTTATGAATGGAGAAATGCACATAAGGAATTGACTTCACATATGAAAAATGTAAATGGATTGGAAAATGAAATTTTCCATCAGCTGCAATTCAGCTATAATCATTTAAAGGATCCAAAACTCAAGCATTGTTTCCTTGGTTGTGCATTATATCCTGAAGAATGGGAAACCACGTAGGTAGATCTGATAAGTCTTTGGATTGCAGAAGGGCTGATGGAACAAATGGACAGCTGGCAAGCGCAGTTTGACAGAGGTCGTTCAATGCTGAATAGACTCATAAACAATTGCTTACTAGAAACTGTTGAAATAGATTCTGTAAGATGTTTGAAGATGCATGACCTTATCAGAGACAAGGCACTTCGTATTACAAGTGTGAGACCTCGATTCCTAGTACAAGCTGGCTTGGGATTAACAAAGCCAACAGATGAGCAGGAATGGAGTGAGGACCTAGAGAAGATTTCATTGGTGGAGAACTACAGGTTACAAATTCCATCAGAACTTACACCTCCGAAATGTCCAATGCTAACAACATTGCTGCTGTCTGATTGCGCCATAGAGAGCACTCCAGAATGTTTCTTCCAGCAAATGCCTCAAGTGAAGGTTCTTGATCTCTCTTGGAATCCTATCAAGGAATTGCCAAATTCCATTTCCAATTTGCAGAATCTCACCAGATTATCGTTCCATAACTGTGTATGTTTAGAGAAGGTTCCTTCTTTATCAAAACTTGGAGCGTTAAAGGAGTTGGACCTTGAAGCAACAAATATCAAGGCAGTCCCTCAAGGGATGGAAAAGTTGATAAATCTCAAAGTTCTTAATCTGAAATGTATACAAAATCTAGAAGAGATCCCCAATAGAATATTATCAAAATTCTGTTGCCTTCAACGCCTAATAATAGATAAAACATTTATAAGTGCAAAGGAGATTTAGGGGTTGAGGAAATTGGAAATCTTTGAAGGCAGGTTTGAGTTTGACGACTGCATCGACCACAAGAGATATCTCGAGGCTTTGGATCGTCAAATAGAAGGCCCTTGTCAATACGTTATCTATTTGGGTAAAGACGAATGGTTAGAAGATACAATTAGTAAATGCATTTTGTATTCTTGGCATGGTGATATCTATACCAATAAGATTATGCTCCCATACAATATTGAAAAACTGGAAATTGGCGACTGCCATGTTGATTTTTGTTTAGATGGGTCGTGGTTTACCCCTGTGCCACACGACAGGTCTTCTTTTCTTGCGACGATTGGTATAGTTAAATGTAGAAAAAAAATAAAGAAGTTGTTCTTGATTAACTAGATGCCGCAGACTCTCCCAAACTTGAATTATCTCTCCTTTAAGGATTTCGAGGAAATGGAGGAAATAACAGTATCAGAACCAGAACTGGAGAAAGAAGGAATGGATAGCAGCAACACCGTCACATTTACTCTGCCACCATTAGTAATATTAGAGTTAGAAAATTTACCAGAATTGAAGAACATTTGTAATACAAATACAGAGATGTATTGTAAGAATCTTCAAAGTATTTGGATAAAAAATTGTCCAAATTTAAAGAGAATCCCTCTGTATCTTCCCCTACTTTATGATAGCCAACCATATTTTCCTTTTTCTCTCCTTGAAGTCCGGATACAACCAAAGTAGTGGTGGGAATCGCTGGAGTGGGACAATCCCGATGCCAAGTTTATAATTAATGGAGCACCTACAAGTGTACTGGGATGAAGAAAAGCGTTGTTTTCAACGTTTTAATCGTAATGCCTGAGCACTGCATTGGCCTCCATTTCTTCTTATATATTTGGTTCTTGTTGACAAGGGCGAGGAATGTGATCTGTTGGATTGAAAAGCTTGAACATATTTGTAAATTCTTTGCAAATATTTTGTGCAATTTGTATTCCTTCACTTATATGATCTCTTGTGTTCCATTCTTTGTGTGTTAAAAACATGCACTGAAAGAAAATTTTTTTGTCAGATGTTGCATTGTTCTAATTGTCTGACTGTATGGTTTTTTGGCTTAGGGTCCTTTTTGCTTTGTAAAATTTTGACTAATGGATCTGCGAAGAGTGTTGATGAATAGCTGTTTGGATTTTGAGTGAAGCTACTAGTGGGTTTCTGTTATGCTCTCAAACCAAAAGGCATATCCTTTGTTTGAATTTGGTTTCGACAAATCACAACGAGTCTGATTCTCTTTCGATCATAACAAGGTTTGCAGAACTTAAGCCATAATTCAGATCAGACCCTCCTGTCAATTCAGATCAGACCCTCCTGTCATGATGTCTCTAGATGTAAGTAGCTATCAGCTCGGAAGTGGTGTTGCGAAGTGCAACATTTTTTTACCTTTTCCTTGTTTCTTTCTTCACTTTGTGGTAAAACAGAACCTTCACCCATTCTGGAATAGTATGCGTATTTGTTTTGTGTTCTAACTTTTGCTTCCTGTTGTACTTCTTTCCCTGTCAAAAACTTGTTACCAATTTGTTTTGTTTTTGTATTTGATTGACTGGATGTTGCTACCTGCAACATCTAATTCTGCCAGATAGTTGTGTAACTAACTGTATTTCTTTTGCACTATACTCATTTTATTTATTTTTAAATTAGCTAATACAAGATTTTCATGGTCATGGCCATCGAATATATACAAGAAAGGATTTAAAAGATTTGTGCAGAAAGAAACCATAATAGAAATGATATTGAGAATGTAAAAACACTATATTATATTACGGATTCAAGAATTCTACAGAAGAATTACAGTGAATAAGATCATTGAGTAAGTCTCTGCATCTCATTTTGGTCATTGAGAGTTTCAATGAGAAGGGAAGGCGCATATTGGGCTGTCCCTTAGTGCTCCTCTGATTCCTGGCAGCATGAAAGAATTACTACGTTAAGATCTTTGCTCTCTAAGGCTAAGGATCTTCATTGTTTCCTCAATGTCTCCTATTTCATCGTCCTTCATGCGCTCCAAAAGCCCCTCTACTTCTTTGCCATTTCTGATATATGCCTTCAAGAGAGCATGATACATATCTCTATTTGCTGGAACCTTGGTTCTCAATAATTTTACAAAAGCTTCTGCATCTTCAACTTCTCCATTGTCACCTAACCAACTCAATATGCTAGATATTAAACTTGCTTTTGGCCTCCAGTCTTTATTTTCTGCTTGTAGAGCAAGAGCTTCTCTAAAGCACTCAAAAGCCTTCTCAATATTGTTCTTATTCACATATCCAGCTGCAACAATAGACCAACTGTTCGGAAGTGCAGTCTTCCTTCTCTTGATTATATCCTGTAGCACTGCTTCGGCCTTTTCCACTAAACCTTTCTGACAATATCCAATAAGAAGAACATTTGGCACTCGGAAATCATATGTCTTACAAGATGACTCCCACTTTTTAAGCAACTTTTCACTTTCTTCAAGCTCACCAAGCTTCATCAATGAACCCAGCATCCTTATGTAGTTTATGTTGGTGTGCTTCTTACATTTGGCCTTTAGAAGGCCCCACAACAATTTCATTTCATCTAAGTTTCCCAAACTAGCATACATTGAAATCAAATGGTCATAGCCTAGTGCATTTTTGCCTACTTTCTTCTCACATTCCTTCAAATAATGAAGTGCCTTTTCATTAAGACCTGCTTTTATGTAGTGGTTTGCCACTACGGAATAAGTACCCCAATCCATTTCAATGTTCTGTTGGCTTTCCATTTCTTGTAGAACCTTCTCCATGCTGTTATAATCAGCTCTTGCCCCATAAGAATTTATACAAATTCTATAGCTGAACATGTCAGGGGAGACACCATTCATCTTCATCTCTAACAAAACATCAGGGACTTTTTCCAGTTGACCTACGTTAGTGTAGAGGCACATGAGGTTATTGTAGTTGAGAGGAGAGGAAAGAAAACCCATCTCCCTCATCTTCTTCATAAGGGAAAGGGACTCATCAATAAGGCCCTCTCGAACATAGCAATTTAAAAGAGCACCATAGGTCTGGACGGTTTTATCTTGGTCTTTCATGCTACAAAAGAAGTTTTCTGCAGACCTTAGGCCATGAACTCTACCAATTAGATCCAACTGCACAGCACAATCACTAGATGAAAATTTGAGGTCACTGCTACTCATCCATTTGGAAACCTGCTCCGCCAAGAACCCGACACATAAGCATACAAGAAATATGCAAACTTTAAAACTCATACATAACGGCAGAGCATTTGGTAATTGGACAGAGGATTTTCTACTTTACTGCATCCATGATGGAAATGAATAGTTGCAAGAACAAAAGAAAGACATTTACCGTATTATAAAAGATACACTATATGTTTACACATCTACAGCTAAGATTAACGGTAGTTTTACTTTAAACTTCAGAATTTGAACTTTTCTCAATGGAACTAAGAGAGTCGAGGACTCTATCATCAGACCACGCAGCTGTTGGCAATTAACAGTAGTTTTTAGTAAATCTTAGTGGTGAAGTTTTACCTGTTAGTACTTATCAGAATGGTGGTCTCAAACATGAGGGATCACAAAACTATCAACCTGTAAGCATTGGAGAATTTTCCAACCTGAAATCCTGACATCTTGTTTTTTTTTTTTTTAAAATTCAAATTCAAAGTTCATTTAAATCAGTGTTGGAGTTATCAATTACTTTGAGGATTTAGATTTTTTTTTTTTTGGATAAAATACAGCAAAAAACAAAATAACCAGATTTTCTTTTCCTCTCTTTTTTACCATTTTGCAGTCATCGTCCATATTCTAACCAATCAAAACATAAGCCATATGACAGAAAAATCTCATTCATTTACTCAAACAAAACAACTCTCTTTACCTCCAGGGCATGACTATAACGCCTACGAGCACGTAGGTCACGGATGATAGGCTGCAGCTGGAATTCGTTAACATTTTTTCCTTCTTTAACCCACTGTTGAAGAACTGGAGCAACACTGCAACTTGGGTCTCCTATAGAATTGATTCTTGAATGAAGGTTGTTTCTTTTTACCGGGTTTGATTTGAAACAATATGTTCTTGTTCTTGCCAAGATCGCATTTGCTGTTAAGGTTTTGGTCTTGTGGTTTAAGATTGTGAATAAGGTTCTCGTCGCCATTGAAGTCAAGGGCTTCAGGTTTTGGAGCAGGGTTTTGCAGTTTGAATGTTTTTTGCACTGCTGGGTCAGCAAATATTGGGTTTGGACTTTGGGGCCCAAAAAATAAACAGCATAAAAATTAGACCCTCCTCCCCAAAAAACTTCACATATTTCGGTTTTTGTCTGGTAAAAAATTTTTCAATTTTGACCTTTTTACATTTATTACTGAAAAAATAAGAAAAAAATAATTTAGAAATTTTGAATGAATTAATTTCCAAAAATATTTTTATAAAATTCTTTATTTAAATATTTAAAATAATAGATTTCAAAATTAAAAAAAAAAAAAAGGTAGCCTGTAGAGCTTTGAACGAGATGGATATATATACAAGAAAAAATGAAAAGATTTTGTAATAAGGTAAGGGTCCATTTGAAACCTCAATTGGCCTCTGGTGTGGCATTTTGATGATTTTTAATATTTCAATACCTATATTTTAAGACTATAGGGTTATTAGGACTTGAAAAACACGAAATTCAGATAAATGCTCCAACTCTCGAGTACCTGCATTAATCTGTTGTTCGTTAATCTGGTTTGATTGGAGCTAGATGTTGATTGTAATGGTTGGAATTTGCTATTACTCTTCCTTGAAATTGTTAGATTCTACAAGTTCTTTATTCTCACTTTCAATGGGGTTATTGATCAAGTCACTATATGTCTTTGATGAGGACAAAGGATGAAACTGGTTAAAATTTCCCTAACCAATTATAATAATTATCAAATTTATTTAATAAAAAAATAAATAATTTTGAAAATAAAAATAAATTAAAAAAACTAAAAAAAAATGAAAAATAAAAAAAAGAATAAAAAAAATGAAGATATTACGCTAATGTATTTGTTGGTACGTCATTAGGCACCTTACCAACAATATTGCCCACATAAAAGACTATAGCAGCCTTCCTCTAAACGTTCATTTAAGCATTCATGTAACAAATCTTATCAAATATCCTTATATGTTGTAATATATATATATATATATATATATATATATGATTACTCTTTCTTTTTCAAGTGGCTAAGGGTTACTTTGGGTTTTGTTAAATTCATTTTTTTCTGATCGATCTAGCAAATTTATCTACACTGAGAAGAATTTTTTTATATTATTATTGAGAACTTATCTTAGTTGTACACTTATTACAATTAAACAATTAATATAAATTTTGAAAATTTTCTTTATTAATGTAAAGTTAGATTTAGCATATGCTTGATTAGTTACATGAATTATGGGGGAAAATTCAAGAAAATATTGTTCTATAAACACATTAAGCCCCAATTTATGCTAGTGTATAATTTCAAATAAAAAATAAAATTTCCTAACCTAAATAATTTGAAATTGAGAAATTAACCAATACTTGTCTTATTAATGTTATGTTTCCAACCATGGTGGAGAGGAAACCTGTAATGCCCATAATTCCATATTAGAAGAATATGTGAATATCATATGATATATATATAGAAATCTAAATTCAAATTTGTAAGATATTTTTTGTAAGATAAAATCGTGAGACTTTTGGATCAAAATAGATAATACATCACAGGTTTAGTGTAGATCTCCACGAAACTAAATTCTATATATGAAAATTTTTGTTTTAGGATGGCCATACTTTTTAATTCGAATATCAAAATCTATAAGTTTTATTGTAAGAATAAAGTGTGCAAAGGAATAATAACTTCAACTGACAAACGAAAAATTACCAAAAAGATTTTTTTGTATTTAAGATTATTAACAATTGAACTTTGATCACAAGAATTAAAAATTTAGCACTTTAGCAATAAATTATATGGCTATTGGTTACCGAAAGGATTTTCATAAGCTACCATCAAATACGAATTAATACATAATTGTGTGATCAAAAGTTTTAAAGAGACAAATAAAGAGAAGATAAAAAGTTCTTTTCTTTCTCTACAAAGGAAGATAAAGCTTTTGATTTATAGCTGCAGTTTTTTCTCCACACCGTTTCACTTATTTTTGTCTTGGAAACAATTTTGACATTCCCCATTGGCCATGTTTTATTTAGTGGCAGCCTTTATGCTTCACATTATTTCCTTGATCTTCTGTGATATCTATCCCTTAATTCTTATGGAATATGAAAAACAAAAAATACGGTGGCCAGCAAATGTTTCTTTTTAGATACAGATACATTCACAAAGATTAATGAAATTAATGAGATTCTACTTGATATTTCAATACTAAAATAATAAAGTTAATACAGAGAATGCGCCTTTAAGATCCCCTAGTAAGGAGATTAGATCCAAACAAAATTTGAGAGATACTTATGATCGTATTACAAAAAAAAAAAATCCTGAAAATAGTAAAAAGAACTAAGAAATTTATAAGTAATATCTTTCACTCATTTAATCATAAGTAAGTAATTTTATTAACATCAAGATCAAGTGAGAAACCATTTTTCTCTTCATAATTGATACATGTCATGGTGACTATTTTTTTACTATAACTTTGGTTAACACAAATAATTAGTATGGAATTCCTTAAGGAGAAGGACTAGGTGAAACATCAACTAAACTACACTTGTTCCATATTTGTGCAGATTTTGCAAAGATTACCGACGTATCATTATTTTTGAACAATGGATTTTGAAGTGTTCTCTTCACCAATGCTTCATGGCATATTTGACCTAGATTGACAAGTTGATGACAACATTCATCACTGACAGTTCCAGTTTTGAATATGCTTGCAAAAACTTCATTAATACAATGCCATGTCATCTTGCTTTTGCTTTCACAATTATTTACCTTGATTGGATCAACATCTTGTGCCATAACTGCTCCACTAATTGCCATAATGGCCAGCACTCCCACAACAGCATAAACATTTGAACTTGCCATGGCAGCTTTTAGGAAAGGAATAATGGTTTCTCTTATTTGGTTGGCAGAAGACTTAGGTATTGCTGCAAGAATTCACGGTAAACCAAAAGGATCATTTATAGGCTATCCAAAAGAATTTAGGGCTCCTGAAGAAAATTAATAACATTTCAGATACAACAAATATTAAGTACACTTTATTTATCGGTTAGTATAAAATCTTAACCGCATTTATTTATTTTAATTAATTAATCTAGTATTCATTGAGATTTCAGTTTTGTTATTTACCATTTAATTTAATATGAATTCTTTTATACACATTTTCAGTTAAAATTTTTAACTCAACAGGTAATTACTTTCTCAATTTTAATTAATTTTTTATTTTAATATATTTTACAAGACATGTATTATGCTATTAACTTCATTTGTGGAATCTTAAAATCCTCATCAGATGAAACAATTTCTCCTTTAACATGCCATCTGCAATTTCCAATTAGTCATGTAAATAATATGTTGGATAAAAGTGTTAAGATTCTTATTCCCCTAGTTATCGAAAGTGGTCATCGGCAAGGTAACAAGGTAGCCGAAAACTTTTTGTTATCCTGGACCTGTAAACTTAAACTCATCCAATCCATACCCAACAGGAAACTGCTGTCCAGAACAGAAATGATGCAATCTTGTATTATAACATTCAGTAGTCCACTTTAACATCTTGCTTTATCCTTGCGGCAACCTGAGATGAAAAGCACAACTACACCACCGTGTAATGGCAAGGCTGGCTCTTGAATAATTGAAGAAAATGACTAAAGACACGGGCAAAAACGTCTGATTATTCTAGCGACTCCAGGAAGAACCACCATCATGAAGACCAAACCATTGGGATCATTCTGTTTAGAACTTTTCTTTCTCCTACTCATTTCTTTCTGTGAGACTGTTTCTTGAAGACCAAAGTTTAGGAAAACATCATATGAATGTGTCATTTGCTTGGAGGATGTTGAAGAAGATGAACTATGTGTAGATATCTCATTTTATCGACATCGTTAGCTAAAGGATCTTTAAGAATCGGATATGAGCCCATTGACCGGATTGTAAATTTTTTAGACAGCCCATTTGAGCCTAAATAATTATTTTGGGCCTTGATTAAGCATTTGGGTCTTTTTTGGATCTTGAGTCCAAATTAAAAATTCATTTTTTTATGTTTTAAATTTTATTTTATTTCTTTATATTTTCGAAAATAAAAAGGGGAAAATAAAATAATTGAAGAAATGATACAAAGAAAGGTCTTTTAGGATTAAATCCCTTGTGAATCAAAGTTCCAATGACATCTAATTTTTAAAGAAACAAATGTTTGTGGATTGAACTTCTTCTCAGATAAAAACTGGAATCCTATAAAAATGACCTGGGCAATCATCAACGGAAGAGGAGAAAATGGAAGGAAAACAAACAAGAGTGACCAAGCCATGAAATCTACAGAAACTCCTGAACAATAAAACACCTAGGGACCAAATCTTTTTGGGGAATGGGCTAGCAACTGCCCATTTGGAATATCCCTTGGCCTTATACTTTTCCTCACATAAACAATTCTAACTTGGTTTCATTTTTTTTTTTATGCGAATCGAATTTTAAAAAATTAAAGCATTTTTAGAATAAATCACATACCGTGGAAAGAAAAAGGGCCATGCATCTTCCTTGGGGAACTTCAAGGAAATCCACATCTAACCAGGTTGAAAGCTCTTAACACAAAAACAAGAGAGAATATATCTGGATTCTGTTTCTTCTACATTCACACAAAAGCAGAGCACTTAGTTCGTAATTTATCAAACTCTATATATAGAAGAGATTTCTCATCATCATGTATAACCAAACTAAACATCTCTACCAAATATATACCCCTCTCTAAGAACTAAAATCCGAAACTCAAGCAACTCTCAAGCAAATGGGGTTTTCCAAAAGTAAGCTAGCCAATTATAAGTCTTTTTCTAATGTTACCAAGCCTAGTTCCCATCAGCAATTTGGAAGCAGCTAGGTCGATCCAAGCTCATAGCCTGACTAAAACAACTGTTCGAAGTTTTTTACAGATCATAATCGAGCAGTTAATTCTGCCAATTTCATTACCGGATTGGATATCAAAATCCTACTTGGGGTGGTGACAAGAATGTTGATGAGAAAGCAACAAGCGACATTTCATATGTCCGAGAACGATTGCATGGAGAGTGTTGATTCTTAAAATAGAAAGTACTAGGAAATGGCTTTTGAGTGTGCTGCTGAAGCTAAATCTAGAATTATTACTAGGACTAGTGTCACAAATGGAGATTTAACTTCCAAGCTCGTGCGATTTTAAGACTCGGGTATACATTTATCCAATGTTTCGATCAGTCTATCTATCATAATTAATACTTTTGCTGAGATATTGTCTATTTCAAGTCCCTCTGAAGCTACGGTTTTGTCCCATAAAGGCGTCTCACAAGGAAAGAATGTATGAACCTTTATATCCTCAAGCCAACTCTAGTATACCAAATCGACGTGGATTCATGGCTCCTCTCTAAGATTGGACATCTTCTCCCACTCCAACGGAGGCCCACTGTCCTCGGTAGCACATTGCTTATACCCCTAAAGCTGGCTCCGATACTGCTTATCACGAACTAAAATTTAACCTCTAAGCTCGTGCGGCTCTAGAATCCAAGCATGCACTCATCTGGTGTCATAAATTTAGCTATCTGCCCATTGGTTCATACCTTCATGAGATATTGTCGCTGCTGACCTCTCTAGCCTTACGATTTTATCTCACAATGGTGCCTCACAAGGAGAGGAATGTGTAAACCTTTATATCCCAAGACCAACTCTAATACACAGCTGATGTGAGATTTATGACTCCTCTCTAAGACCGTAACAATTAGCTTGCTGCTCATACGCTGTATGGATTATCTTTACTTATTTAAATGTGTGTAAAAATATAAATTAATAGTATTTAATCTACATATTTAAAATATATAATACATATATATAATTAAAACATCAAATCATAATAAAATGATTATAAATATCTTTTGAATTTAAAATATATATAATAAGTGATATTTATGTTTTTTAATTAAAAAAAAAAAGATTAAAAGGATTGTAAACAAAATTAATATTAAGCATCTAACTTAAAATCAATTGACTGTAAATGAAATAATCTAATTTGAATATAAAATTACCAAAAATTAAAAATTTATTATATGTGTGATAATACTATACTAACAGGCCTCCACCACGTATAGATGGAAGAAGTCTTTCATGTGACAAATTCGAAAAGGGTAATGGAAAGAAAATCATGCTCTAATTCCATGTTAAACATCCAACATAAAAATAATTACTTATAAGTGGAGGGATCCAACTTAAATGTAAAACTATAAAATATTAAAATTTATTATATGTGAGATAATACCACGCTACCAATTACCACAGTAAAAATATCCATTTGAAAATTTTAAATTTGAAAGAGATCTCTAGATGAAATTTTAATGAAATAAGATAATTTTTTTAAGTTATATATTTTTATTACAACTTATTGAGATTTTTTATTCTTAAGAAAAATCATAGATAATTTGAATAAGATTTTATTTTAGAAAGTTTTTATATTTGAATTTAAAGTATGTATAATAAGTATTATCCATGTATCGAAAAAAGAAAATATCCATTTAAATGTTCGCATGACAAACCTTATCAAGTATCTTTGTATGTTATAATATATATATATATATATATTTATATATATATATATATGATTACTCTTCTTTTTTTTTTTTTTTAAGCGGCTAAGGATTAAGTAGCAAGGGTTTTTGGGTTTTGTTAAATTCATTTTTTTGCTGATCGATCCAGTAAATTTATCTACGCTGATAAGAATTTTTTTATATTATTATTGAGAACAATTAATATAAATTTTGAAAATTTTCTTTGTTACTGTAAAGTTAGATTTAGCATATGCTTGATTAGTTACATGAATTATGGGGGAAAATTCAAGAAAATATTGTTCCATAAACACATTAAGCCCTGATTTATGCTATTATATAAATTCAAATAAGAAATAAAATTTTCTAACCTAAATATTTTGAAATTGAGAAACTAACCAATACTTGTCTTATTTATATTATGCTTCCAACCATGGTGGAAAGGAAACCAAATTTTATATATGAAAAATTTTGCTTAAGGATGGCTATATTTTTTAATTTGAGTATCAAAATCTATAACTTTTATTGTAAGAATAAAACATGCAAAGGAAATTAATGCGATTCTATTTGATAATTCAGAATTAAAATAATAAAGTTAATGCATAGAATGAGCCTTTAAGATCCCCTAGTAAGGAGATTAGCTTCAAACAAAATTTGAGAGGAGCTTATGATCATATTACCAAAAAAAATCTTGAAAATAGTAAAAGGAACCAAGAAATTTATAAGCAATATCTTTCACTCATTTAATCATAAATAATTAATTTTATTAATATCAAGATCAAGAAAGAAACCATTTTTCTCTTCATAATTGATACATGTCATGGTGACTATTTTTTTACTATAACTTTGGTTAACACAAATAATTAGTATGGAATTCCTTAAGGAGAAAGACTAGGTGAAACATCAACTAAACTACACTTGTTCCATATTTGTGCAGATTTTAAAAAGATTATCGATGTATCATTATTTTTGAACAAAGGATTTTGAAGTGTTCTCTTCACCAATGCTTCATGGCATATTTGACCCAGATTGACAAGTTGATGACAACATTCATTACTAACAGTTCCAGTTTTGAATATGCTTGCAAAAACTTCATTAATACAATGCCATGTCATCTTGCTTTTGCTTTCACAATTATTTACCTTGATGGGATCAACATCTTGTGTCATGACTGCTCCACTAATTGCCATAATGGCCAGAACTCCCACAAAAGCATAAACATTCAAACTTGCCATGGCAGCCTTTAGGAAAAGAACAATGGTTTCTCTTATTTTGGTTGGCAGAAGATTTAGGTATTGCTGCAAGAATTCACGGTAAACCAAAA